AGAACAATCTCCATTGCAGAAATATAATTTTCCCACCCATTTTCTAATGTTCTGTGCATGTACAGACCGTTTTAGGTGTAAATGTGCACGCAAAAAAAAAGGTTTGCTCACTGAACAGGCAGTAATGCTGGTAGCAATACAGCCCTGCACTGTATGTATGCGCAGGCAGGGTGCACAAGTGAATTGCCATGGTTTTTGATGCCACAGACATGTGGGGATAGCGTGCACATGAGCGAAGCAAGAGTTCACATTTTCGGTGCTGGGTGAACTGGTTGTTACAGTATGTGATGCCCACCTCTGTTTGAATGTATCTGAAGTATAATCTATGACACCTACGTCATGGTCTTCTTTTCCCAACATCATTTCTCTCCCTCTTCGTGATTACCTACTTAATGAATGCTTCTTATTAGTGGCTACTTATGGTCACTTCTGCCTCGAGAATTGGATATTCAGATGAAAAGGAGCTATATCTATGAACATCATTGAGTCTGTGTTAGATCGGGTAATGGATAGGCACACACAGGCTACAGTAACAACAGCTCTTTATTGCAAGTGAAAAACATCCGGCGAGGATGAGTCAGACAGCAGCCCTTTTAAAGGGGGCTGTCAGACCCTTCGATCAATAGGATTAAACCTCTGTTCCCTCCAGGACAGAGGATCTTGGTGGAAACCACTGTCGCTTGGGTGAATATCTAACACCCCTCCCCTCTTGGATGGAACAATCCTACTGGTAACGTAGTCACACAGGTAGGCGAGCCTTTGGGTAGCTCTGCCTGACCTGCGCAGTTCAGTAGGAGGGGTTTCCTTGGACAAGTCGGACGGAGCTGTTTGTTCTGCAGCCCCGCTTGGTGGAAACTCCTGGAACTTTTCAAAGTCTGCGGCTGGAGCTTCTGGAGCTGGCTCGCTCGGAGCTCACTGTGGGTCTGCAACAAAATCAGATAAGTCTTCCAGTACCCTCAGGCTTGAGCTGGCCTTGGAAGGAATGAGAGTTTGCTCCGTTTGGGTAGGGCTTTGGCTAACTCATGCAGGAGTTACCTCTGGTTGTCTAAGAGTGGAGTTGGAGAGGCGGCCACGGAGTTGGTCAATATGCCTACTCCAATTCTTACCGTCCTCGAGCTCTACCAGATAGGAGCGAGGGCCGGTGATGCCTATCACTGTGGCAGGAATCCACAGAGTTCCCCCGCTGTAGTTGTGGGCGTATACCGAATCCCCTATGCTAAATGTCCAAATCTTGCTTGTGGAGTCTGGGGGCAATGAGGCAGAATAATTGGGGTGTATCCGGTCTAAGTGGGACCTTAGTCGGCAACCCATGAAAAGCTCGGAGGGGCTTCTCCCAGTGGTGGCACTAGGTGTGATGTGCTGAATTAGTAAATAGTGATCAACCCGTGTTTGCCAATCTCCCGGGCCCATTCTAGCAAGGGCCTCTTTTGCAGATCTCACCATTCTCTCCACCTGACCATTGGAGGCCGGATGGAATGGCGCGACCAGGCCATGCCTGATTCCCTGAGCTGCTATGAAGGTCTCGAATTGCATGGCCATAAATTGGAGCCCGTTGTCCGAGGCCAAGACGTCGGGCAGGCCGTGCCCTTTTAAAGGGGGCTGTCAGACTCTTTGACCAATAAGATTAAACCTCTATTCCCGCCGGAACAGAGGACCTTGGTGGAAACCACTGTCGCTAAGGTGAATATCTAACAGTTTGAATAAGGATGATATTTCGGTAATTACAAGATAAAGAGGTGGAAACTTAAAAGTTGACCTTCTCTGCTGAAGAGGCTACATTTTGCCCTTCTGGAGAAGGGTTGGATGCTGTCTCATTTTGCTCCCAGCAAAACAAACCAGGAAGGTTCACTGAATCCTGATCTATGTAACATTACTTACAAGCCAGGCTCCATCACCTGTAGATGTTTTAATAAATGGCTATTCTTGTTTATTTTAATTATTCTTGTATTTCTCACTTATAATTTATGTATGCAATATTACTCTAACCAGATAAGAAAAGAAACTAAAAAAGGATGGCCTTTATTCTATTGAGGGGACATTCAGATTATCTTTTATTCTTCATTTATGATACTGTTCATTTATGATACATAATTCGAGGAGAAAGTAACGCCGGCTGTATATTTTATTAATTGCAGTATTTCCTGTGTAATATTTCATTGGTTGTATTCTACATAATGTTTTAAGGCTGGTGGGAAGGCTCACTTTTCCACTGATATGTTATCCTGTATTTACCCTGATTTTCCTTAATCTGTTTAGGATTACCAGACTGTTGGCCTGCCATAAATAGCCTACAAGGAGCTTTCTTTATAATAGATGGTAAATGGCACGCTTGAAAGAACTATCTTACAATATGAAAAGCTTTAGAAATCTGGTCAAATATAAGAAAAACTCTGATAATCTCCTCTTACAGAAGCCCACCAACCAAATAGTAAACCAGTAATACTTAAGAAACTCATTGCCTATGAATTGTGGAATTGCTATAATACTTGCTATCTTATTCCATCTCTTCTGTCTATTGAGACATCTTTCTCAAGAAAACGTAGGGATATCTTAGTTTTATAACCTTCTAAATACTACAGGTATATTTAGACTGGGCTGCAGAATTCAAATTGCCAGAAGATGGCAATACATCAGGATTAGACTTTGCAATGTTACCTTGCTGCCATCTAGTGGACTTCTAGATATTTGCTAATGCCATTCAGTCAATGCAATACCAGCTCTGATAAATAATTCTGCTTCTCCTACAACCATTATGTTACATTTGTTAGCAGGACTAATGCAGGGGTGAAATGCTACCAGTTTGGGTCACTTCACTTGAACCAATAGTAAAAAATGCTTTAAAAAGTAAAAAAAGTTTCAACGATCAGCTGCGCGACAAACAGCTTTGCCTTGCAAACTTTTCTTTACATTTTTAAAGCATTTTTACTACCTATTTGCTGGAACCGGTAGTAAAAAAAATGCTTTAAAAAGTAAAAAATAAAGTTCCGATGACCAGCTGTGCGACAATCAGCTGTGCCTGATTGTCTGTGAGATTCCTGCTTGTTGCAGGAACTATTTTATGTGAAGTCCAGCTGCTTTTACATTGTGTGTGAGTCAGTTGTGCAGTTTTTGTGTTATTTTATTGTAAAGTGTGACAGTTGGTTTTTGAGTTCTCTGTGACTCTCTGAGGTTCCTGCATGTTGCAAGGGTCATTTTGTGTGAAGCCCAGCTACTTTTACATTGTGGTGTTGACTTGGCCATGCTCAACCCCCCAGTCACATGGCCACAAAGTCATGCCCACCCAATCCCATGACCAAGCCATGACCACCCGGTCATACGACCACCAAGCCACACCCACCCAATCACATAACCTCCAAACCACGCCCACCTGATCACATGACCACCAAACCATGCCCACCCAGCCATATGACCACCAGGCCACACCCACCCAATCACATGACCACCAAGCCACACCCACAAAACTGGTAGGGAAACGTTTTGAATCTCACCACTGAACTAATGTAAGAGAAGCATTCGGGAAATACCAACTTACTTACTTACTTACTTACTTACTTACTTACTTACTTAC